TGTAGGATCAAACAAAAATCAATTCAGAAGATCTCTGTGCTACAAAGAGCCTCCCAAAGACCTGAAGAAAGGCACTTGGTACCCAAGAGCTTGCCTACAGTTGGTCTAATAAAAGATGCCACCCACAAAGATCCCAATACTATCTTAAAGATCCTATTTTCTTTCCACTACAACATATTCTCTTACATGTGTACACAAACTACATTAGACAAATATTAAGATTGCAAAATTCAGTACTCCAAAGTTAGGGAATGACAGAATTAAGATGGTCTGTGCAACTTTAATGTGTGCCTTCCTTCCTCCATGCATATATATTATGATTAGGCTTGGCAGGATTTGATTTTTATCCATAACCATCAATTTCACCTCACACTCACAGACCAACAGAAAAATATTTCCATCATTAGTAACAAAAATTTATAGAAAGGGGACCTAAGAATAGGCTGCTGCTGCAACATGAAGGCTCCTGCTGAACAGCAGCTGGAGGCTGGGGGCAGACTGGGCACTGTGCATCGGTGTGTGTGTCTGTCCCCACTGCTGCCTCCCCAGCTTGGTGCCTGCAGGGTGCTAGCCAGCCAGGCCCTGCCTTGCAAACCTGGGTGGGAGCTAGCAGGCAGAGCAAACTGCTGGCTGCAGGGGGCAGATGTTGCGGCAGCAGCTGGAGGCTTCCTTGCCAGGGAGCTGGGAGGGGCTGCGGGGGTGGGGGGCAGTGACTGCTGTGTGACAAAGGAAAGCGGGCGCTGAGACTGGCGATGCCCTGCACAGGGGCTGGGCAGTAGGCTGCCCACCTGGCAGCACAGCAACTTTCCCTGTGCCTGCTGTGTGTTGAGTTGGAGGAGGAAGCAGGCACATGTGGGCGCATGCGTGCGTGTGTTCATACATGTGTGTGCATGTGTGTGGACGTACTCCCACACCCTTAATTTCACACAATTCTGAACAATTTAAATTGATAAGAATTGAAACATATGTTTAAAAATACACATTGATTTTGGCTGTCTACATACATATATATATGTATATACACACATATATACATACATACATATACATATATAAAAAATTCTGCTAAATCTAATTATGACAGTCTTAATTACATGATCATCTACATGATCATGTGCTACTTTTTCACAGGATTAATGCTGTGCAGGAAACAATATACCTATTTCATGAAACAATGGGACTTTAGAGGCTTTCTCCATTCTACACTGTGTGGAAACCAAGACTTCTCAGTTTTGAGAGACAGAGAAAACACATGGGATGTGTATAACTCAGGGTCAAGTCTCTCCCCTGCTATTCTCTATAGTGAATGGTCCACCCACCAAGCTATCAGCTATTTTGGGATATGTGTCTCAGTCTTTCCTGCTGGAGCTATCTCATTTCATGTAATTAAGCATTCATTGAAACAGGACTGTAAGACAGTGTCTTTTTACTACACTTAATATTCAATTATTTATACAAAGTTGAATTGCTTCTACACAGAAAATTGTTGACAAGCCCATCCTAGAATAGCCAACTGCTACCTGGCATGCACAAGTCATACTCAGATCCAAGTCAGGTCCTGCAGCAACTTGAAACTGAGTCTCCAACATCCCAAGTGCTCCAGCCACCAGGCTGTTTGGGATTCTGGTCTTCTCTCCCCTTTTGAGCAGAAATTTAATCCTAACCCTGACACATCTTTTCAGATGAGAACTTTATCAAATTTTAATGCTTTCTTGTGGAAAGTTTCAATTTTTCTAGAAAAAAGCCATTGTTCCTGGGATCTGGAGCACATGCTACTCTGGGGGAAAAGTCCTATCTGCTCTTCCCTTGACCTGACCAGGATGGCTGCTTCAATGAAGGAGCAAATTGCTGGTACCAGAGCCAGCAGGGAACAGGTAAAGTGGCAGAGAGCCCTAAGCCCAGCTCCTGGGATTTAGGACAGGTGGGGAAAGTCCTGTTCCTCCTCCCTACTTCCCTCTAGGTGGCTGACATCAAGGTTACTGCAGTAAGGGAGTGAACTGCCCAGCAGTCAAGCAGCACCTTGGCCTGAACCATGCTCTTCAAAATGAAGTTTTCCCATATGCGTGGCCCACTGAGCTCCATGCCCTAAGCCCCCTGCAGAAGCATAAACAACAGCAGCAGTGAAAGCCTTGGCTTGCCTTTAAAGGCTCCCCTTAAGGCTTCCCAGAGGAGTGACTTTCCAGAGTCATGTGTCTCTGTAGCCACTCTTGCCATACTTGTTGCAGTCCCACACCTTATAGATCTTACTCAGTCATGTTGCTATTTACTGTTCTGGAGGGAAGGTTTTTTTGTGATATGTTATTGGACTAGCTGTATAGTTTTATACTTGATATATAACAAAATAATGCAGAGTCCTATAAAATAGTAGATATTTTTACTTCTATCTCCAACTGAATAGTACTGATGCATCCCACTATCTCACCTCCCTTTTTAAAATCTTAGATCTGCCCATGGTTAGAAGTCTGAGTGACCAGCCTTTCTACCAGCATCATGGAAGTTGTTAAGAAGTCACTCCTTAAATGCATCTCTTGGCTGGAATAAATCCTGTAGCTTCTGATGTTGTCATGGTCAAAAGCAAAGGATGGAAGAATTTGCATTGTAGTTAATTTGCTACCCCTCACTCAGAACATGCCTTTTATGACCAGGTAACTAAATCCTTGGATGATGGTGTCGCCATGGATGTAGTCTTTCTAGACTTTAAGAAGGCCTTTGACACTGTCTCTCACCCCATTCTCATTAATAAATTAAGCAACTGTGGTATTGATGCCTACACACAGTTGGATGGGTAAAAAACTGGCTGATGGGGCACACCCAGAGAGTAGTGGTGGATGGGTCATACTCAACCTGGTGAGATGTAAGCAGTGGGGTCCCCCAGGGCTCAGTCCTCGTGCCCTCACTGTTTAACATCTTCATCAGCGACTTGGACTAGGGGGTTGAAAGCACATTGTCCAAGTTTGCTGATGACACTACGATGTGGGGTGAGGTGGGCACACTTGAAGGGAGAGAGAGAGGCTGCAACTAGATGTAGACAGACTACAAAAGTGGGCAGATGAGAATAGGATGGGGTTCAATGTAGATAAATGCAGGGTGCTGCACCTTGGGAGAAGGAATCCACAGCATACATACAGGCTGGGGAGTTCCCCTCTTGAAAGCACAGAGGCAGAACAGGATCTTGGAGTCATTATTGACTCCAAGATGAACATGAGCTGCCAATGCCAGACCGCAGCCAGCAAGGCCAGCCATACCTTGTCATGCATCTAAAGATGCATCTCAAGCCAGTCCTGAGAGGTGATACTCCTCCTCTATGCGACATTGGTCAGGCTGCAATTGGAGTACTGCATCCAGTACTGGGCACCGCACTTTAAAAAGGATGTGGCCAGCCTGGAGAGGGTTCAGAGTAGGGTCACCTGTTTGGTGAGAGGGCAGCAGGACAGGCCCTATGAGGAGAGACTGAGGGACCTGAACCTGTTCAGCCTCAGCAAGAGAAGGCTGAGGGGGGACCTGGTGGCTGCCTACAAACTCATCAGGGGAGATCATCAGCAAATAGGAAGAGCCCTTCTCTCCCCAGCACCACCTGGGGTGATGAGGAACAATGGTAATAAGCTGATGGAGAACAGGTTTAGGTTAGCGATCAGAAGGCAATATTTTACAGTTAGGGTAGCCAGAATCTGGAACCAACTTCCCAGGGAAGTGGTCCTCACCCCTACTTTGGGCAAATACAAGAGGAGGTCGGATGATCACCTGTCTGGGGTCTTGTGAACCCAGCATTCATTCCTGCTTGTGGCAGGGGTCAGGCTAGATGATCTGTTCAGGTCCCTCCTGACCCTAGCTACTAGAAAACACATGTACACATGTACCAAGGCCCTATCAAGGAAGATTATTACCTGACAAGGATCTTGCAGGCATGAATCCATCTTATTTATGCATTAGGGTTGTTGGTTGTAGCCGTGTTGGTCTAAGGACATAGGCAGACAAGTTTCAATGGGTAAATGTAATATCTTTTATTAGACCAATTAAATAGCTGGCAAAATTGTTCTCTGCAAGCTTTTGGGTACAAACACCCTTCTTCAGGTTCCTTTTTAGCCCAGAAAACCTTATCTGTCTTATTTATGCAGGCATGAATACATCTTAGGCAGACCTTCGAACTGAAAATTTACCCAACTTGAACAACACAGAAGCAGGAGTGAAATTTGCTGTTGAATGAACTAAGCACAGCTCTGCTTAGATTTGAAACTACAGGAAATGACACATCCTCAGTAAAGGACTTAATGCCTCTTTCTGAGGAGTCAGATATTGGATTGTAAGTCACACTTTACTGCAACTCCAATAATGTATTCATCCCAAAGTACACATTTACATCTTCTGTATTGTTAGTAAAGTTTGTTGTGGTACAGGTGATCGGCTGAAGAGTCCAGGAGTCTAACCATCATGGTTAATCACATCATTGCACTGAAAAATCAAGACAAATGTCTACATGCTATAAAATGTCTTCACAGTTATTATTGGGTGCACCACTAGGGAAACAAAGTAAGTTAACTTTTGAATACTAGATATAGGAATTTATTCCTAGAACTATTTTCCTTTGTCCAGTAATTCTTGTAAGTGGGTTTCATTATGTCACTTTAGAGTGTTAGTATAGGATTTGTTGTTGTTTTATACAGTGAAATGTAATATCGAAGAAAGCTGCTGCAGCAAATTATTGATTTACTAAAATCCATTTGTTAAAACTGAATAACCATTTTTAAACCATCAGACTGTCTTAACTAAGTATAATTCATTAATAACCTTTTGTTACTTTTTTGTAGCATTATTTTTCTTCTGTTTCAAGTACAGCTGTGAGGTTGACTAGGATAGAGAAATACTTGCCTGCACATTGTAAAATGGCTTTTTGGTGCCATAGGATTCACTGTAATATGTGAAGTCATCTATGCTAAGCTGAAAAACAAAAAAGAGAGTATAGGTTACCAAGTGCCATGTCAACTCCTTATGCACAGGTTGCACTCCGTACTGGCAAGATAAGACACATTATATTACGTACCATATCTTGAAGGAACAAGACAAGGTTCTTGGAACTCTGGGTAAAAATAGGTTGCAGCACTGTAGGCAGCTCTTGCTTTGTGATAATGTGTCCTTCATGTAAAGTAGTTTCTAAATTCCACAGTGAGCTAAAAGTAAAATAATTTTCTTTTAGTTCTAATGCAAAAGTTATCAGTTTTTCTTTCAGTTAAAGGCACGCACAAGTAATATTAGGTATAATATCAGTTTAAGATCGGATAAGATTAGGTCCAATATTGGTTTAATATGATACAGTCTATTAGGCAGATGAATGCCTATTGGCAACGTTTTCATATTGAGTCTGTTCAATTATACTAAGGATAAATTTAGACCACTAAGAATTATCACTTATTCCTATTACTGCTTATTAATTGTTTGGTACCAACACTATACAATGGGCTTATGGACAATTGTAAAGTGGGGCTCCCTGCCCTTGAAAATGTATATTTTGTGGTCCCAATTTGACTGTTATTATTAAGCATAGTGATCACCACTACGTAATCCAACTGTGGCTACTGAGGCTATTCATGATAACAGAAACTGTTTACCCAATTCTGAAAACCATCTCTATTCAGCAAAGCATTTAAGCATATGCTTATTGAAATATATATGCTTAACAGTACACACTTAAAGCGTTGGGTGAACAGGGATGGAGTTTAGCATATGCTGATCCATATCCTGAGCCAAGTGCCTTGGTAGATCACATACCACATAATCATTGTGTAAAAAGCAAGGGGATAGAAAAATGAATTGAAACACAATACCTCATGCCTTGTTAATGCCATGTTTTTAGCACTTTTTAAAATGTAAAAGATATCAAGAATAGATTAGAGAAAATTGTCAATAGGTGTAAGCAGTTTTTCCATTACTTCTATGTTATAAACCTCCATATTAAATCATCAGATAAACATAGGATACTTTGGAAACAAAGCTGATGACACATTACGACTTTTTAAATAAAAGAAAAGAAAGTCATATCACTTTGTGAGTTTAAAACCAACAGGGATTTTCAGTTTGCTTGTGATGGCCCTTGTAATGGCTTTTGCCTTCTAGAGAAGCATGGGTACAAGCTGTCCTGTGCTTTAAAATTGAAATAGATTAGTGATCACAGCTGTTCAAAAATGGCCTCAGGAAAATAATTTGGCACAGAACAACAGAACTGGTAACTCTCAAATGGCAAGGTCTCATTGCTATAACTTACTGGCAGACAAAAATAAAACTTTGTGGTGCAGATATTCGTACTAGACTCTAACATACTTTCCTGAAAACAAACAGAAGAACTAAGTAGCACTTTGGGGGATTTGTTCACATGACGGGGGTTTGGTACCTTAAATTGAAATGGTAGGTTTTTAATTGTGATAATTAAAAACCCAGTTTCAATTTAGGGGCTCCCATCATTGTTATGGTGAGGGGCCCGACCCTTTTTTGTTCCTCCATGGAGCCTGCCCACCTCTCCCACTGCCAGGGGGCAAGCTGCAGTGGGCTGAACAGCCCCTGAGCTGCAGGAAGCCCAGGTTCTTCCCTCCAAGGTGGTGGCACTCCCTCCGGGGCTGCCTGGCTTGGGCTGGTAGTGGGCCAGGGGCTGCCCCAGCTTGGGAAACAGTTAGATCAGGCTGGGTGCTGCCTCCAAGCTGGGGCAACAGCCACCTGCTAGCAGCCCACCCAGGCAGCCTAGGTAGTGCCACCATCACAGAGGGAAGGACCAGGGCCACCCACAGCTCAGGACCCACCAACAGATCACCCCCTCGGCCGCAGGAAGTCTCCATGGAAAAAAAAAGTATTGGGCCCCTCACTGCTTTTTTTGGTTTGTTTTTTCCAGTGGAGTCTGCCCACATGAGCTGCCAGTGGGCTAAACAGCCCCTGAGCTGTGGGGAGTCCTGGTCCTTCCATCCATGGCAACGGTGCCCCCCAGGGCTGTCTGGGTGGGCTGCTAGCAGGTGGGTACTACCCCAGCTCAGAGGCAGCATTCACTGGATCCAACTCTTCCTTGAGCCTGCCCAGGGAGCAGCACCCTGTGCATTGTCCCTGCTGCCTTCCCACCACCTGGGACCACCTGGGAATGGGCTAGCTAGCCTTTGGGGCAGCGCAGAAGAAGGCAGGATGACAGCTGGGTGTGCTGGCAGCCGGAGAGGGCAGCAGGGATGGTGCGTGGGGTGCTGGAAGCCCAGGGGTGGGTTGGAGAAGCATTGGATTGGGTGCTTTTGACCCAAGGCAGCACCCACCCACTACCAGTGGCCCAGGGTGGGTGGAGTGCCAGTGCCACAGAGGGAAGGACCAGGGTCCCCCACAGCTCAGGGGCTGTTCAGCCTACTGGCAGCTCATCCCCCAGCCATGGGAGATGTGGGCAGGCTACACACACACGCACACACACACACACACAAGAGGATTGGGCCCCTTGCTGCTTCTGCCTTTAGCCCACCTCTGCCACAGCTGGGGGGCAAGCTGTCAGATTAAAGGCTGCAAAGTTATAAGTAGCTACATTGCAAACTAAATGACATGGGGATATAGTTTGTTTGCAACGTAACAAATGCATTTAAATCACAAAAAAACCCTGCACATGTAAAGTGTGACAAATTGCAAAAACAGTTTTCATCACGTGTACAAGCGCCCTTGGAAAGCATTTTGGATAACAGCACTTTTGGGGAGGAGGATATAGAAGCAGTGCCCCAGTCATCACTCCTAGCACACTTCTCTCATTTCTGGAAGATAATGGGTTTTCAGACACCCAGTCTATCACTAAATGGCTGGGTAAGAGAAGCATGAAATTGTGGTGCATGATTCAGAAAGGGCAATAGCTGATTTCTGAGCAGAGGGTGGTAAAGTAGCTTGGCTCATTTACTATGGTGACTAAGGCTCAAACATTGCCACTTAAAGTCATATTTCCATCATCCATGTACTCTGATGTGTTATCATCTTTCATTTGATCTTTGTTGATTTCCAACAGAGGACCACTAACCCAACATTAAGTGAATAGACCCAATTACATTGCTCCTATTTTTGCTGGCAACTGACATGTGTAAGAAATTGAATCTTTACACTGCAATTTAGCTCTATGGAATTTCCACCAAAGTACTTACATAATGTAGGCAACCATCATGGTGAGGGGTGAGCAATGGAATTCCTGCTACACTACTTATGTTTTGGCATCATATAAGCATTCATAAAGCATAACAGACCTTTTCAGGAGAAAGTGGAACAAAATGGAATAACATGGCAAAAGTTTCCAGAGAAATCTTCATATAAACATTCAAAATACCCATCTCATAGCAAGGTGGATTGGGATGGAAGAACTGAGCCTTCTACTTAATGAACTACTAAAAATAGATATAGGCAAAATTAGTATTTTTCAAAAACTTTTCAGATCCATTTCACAAATTATCAAAGTTTGGGAAGAAGGGGACCCTAGATAAATTAATCTAGATTTGCCCCTTGCAGGCATATTTAATTTTAATTTTAAGTAATTTATTTTATAGAAGCATATACCGATAGCTTGAGACTGACACTGGCAGCTATTTGTTTCAACTTTATACATAGTATTATGAAAGATATAGTTCCAGTCTAAAAATAATAAACATAAACTCTATGGGAGAATCTGTCTCTAAATGCCTTGTCTAATGTAATTGTGAACCTCTCTGGAAAGACGAGAAGTATAATTTTAATTTTGCATTTCCCAGTTATTTAACCATCTTAGCCAACAGCACATGAGAAAGTTAGTGCTCTTAGCCTGAATAAAATGGTTTCCAAGATAATAGATAGCAAATGGAGAATTTACTACTTGTTATTCAGCCAGGTATTTTATTGTAATTTGATGTAGAGGTTAATATCAGATTATAGTGGATAGAAAGGGTGTTTTTTGCTTTGTTTTATTTTACATTACAAAATGTTGCAGGGAAAATCCTTGTAGAAGGACCTTTCCTGGGGACAATACTTGACGCATTCTTCCATTACACAACTGTGCTGCTGGCAGTCAGGAGACACTGCAATGGATGTGGGTAATAGGCAGATGGTGCAATGGAGTGAGGGAGGGGGCATCTATGTGGTGTACAGGCCAAGGGCCTGGGACCGCCACTGCTGCTACCTAAAGGATATGCAGGCCCAGGCTGCTTAGAAGTTGGACAGCCCTGCCTTAAAAAAAAAAAAAAAAAAAAAAAAAAAGCCCCAAGGACTAAAAATTTTTATGGAGCCCCCTACACTGAATTGGTGAATATTCTATATTTGTATGAACAAGATGTAACACTTTTACTATTAAAGAAATTTAATATGGATTAAGTGATGCGAAGATGGTGAAATGGGAACTGTGGGGGAAAGAAGAGCAAATGTTTCAACAGTTATGTAATAGCCATTCAAAATGCATTTCTTAACAAGCATTAGCAAAATCATGCAAAATATTCACTGGATTTTTCAACAGCTTTTTTTACCTGCAACAAATCAAAAAATAACATGACACGCGAAACAGCATTAAAGTATTTGTAGCAACACAATGGCAAATGCTTTTTTCTTTAAGTCAACAGAGAAACACCATAAAGGTTTTGGGAAGCTCATGATCCCATTTGAAAACATGGTACTAGAGTCTCTTTCTTCATAGGACCTGCACTGTGAATAGGTAGCTTCACAGCTTGGTTGAGACACCTTGCACATAATGTTACTTACAGTCTTAGAAATGACTTTGGGTAACTCAAGCTGGAGTCTAAGCCAGCTGGTATTAGTGCAAAAGGAAATAAGTGGTTAGCCCAGAGCCCCTCCCAGTATCTCTGTATACTAGCCCAACACCTTTCAGATTGTATGTTTAGGCTTTTATCTAATCCATTTTCTTTTTAGAGAAAATTGGAATTTGGACAATGATTTTTAAATGAAACCAAGGTTTCAATAGCCCCTGGGTCTCAGGCTTGGAGGATAGTCTACAATTTTATATAATCTCTTTGTAGATTGCACATAAAATCATCTATAGATTTTATTTTTTCAGTTGTCTTTTTCAACTGGCAGAAGATTACTTGGCAATATATAGCTTTTTTCTTGCTGCAACAAAAATAAATATGCCCACAGATAGTTAGTAAAATTTCAGTGGGAACCTTTAAACACAACCACTAGACATGAAGTTTACATGTCGCCA